ATGTTTTGTAAAGAGAGAAATGTAAATGTGATTAAAAAATATACAGAATAAAATAAGTAATATTATAAGGAAAAAATAAAAAAATTAAAAAAAATATTATAGTTTTTTTAAGTAAAAGTATAGTATTAACTTTTTTATATATATAAGCAAATGAATTTTATTACTAAATGTATAATATTAAATGTATAAGATTAAGCTGCCCCCAGCAAGCAGTTGGATTAATAGACCACTCAACCAGCAAATAGGAGTTCTTATTTAATTTATCCAAGAACCATCTCTAACATAGTTCCATCCAAATTTGAAAAGAAAAAAAACTCCATTTTAAAAATGGTATTAGCTATTTACTAGCTAATTAATTAACGACTAGTAAAAACTTCAACTGTTGTAAGCTTTTAAAAATCAGTATAAAGCAATAAGAATCATAATTAATTAAGAATAACGACATAAAGAAGATATAATTACATATTTACATTTCTCTTAATATTAATATTAGTGGGAGTTGTGTCTTTCTTTAGCAGTAAAAAAATTACAATAGCTTTAATTACATATATTCCATAATTACTTTAACTTTTGAAGTATATATTTATAAAAAATAATATTAGAGAAAAGATTATATGCATCAACATATCTTCATGCCCTCATAAACTCTCGTGTAAGATAAGTTTGTTAATATTTATACAAATTATCTTAAAAATAAACTAAAAATGATTTTAGATTGGTTGTTGTGGTTGGATAGCCCGACTCCTCTATCTAGTTCGTTTCAAGGCAACTTCTTTGCTTATCCAAATATATTATTGTCTAAAAAGAGGGTTGATCAATGGCATGTTATATGGACTGCAATATTATGGTGCACCTGAAGAGCTAGGAACAAATGTGTGTTTGAAGGGGAGCAACTCGACGGAAACCGTTTACTGTAGCAAACTGTGTTATACTCATGGTCTTGGCTTACCTGTTTAAATAATTCGTTCAATATTCATTCAATCAATGGGAAGCTAATATGGGACTTTGTATTATTTCCTAAGATCTTTGATGAGGTTTTGAGGAGACTTTATAGTAATCTAGTATGTAATTAGTAGATTTTGGACTTCTTAGTTGGAGGCTCATTTGTAATTTAAATGAGGCTCAACTTTATTGTGTCCTCCGCATGCAAACCTGTATTTGTGATTGGTATCTCTTGTACCATTTTATTATATAAATTATTTCTTTACCGTTCAAAAAAAAAAAACTACACCGACAATACCTATATACTAAACTCATAATATAATAAGTGATGTGAATTTTATCAATTAAATAAATTTGATATCAATGAATTAATTATAAAATGAACACCGATGATTATATTTTTAAATTAGTAATCTAGCTATTTATAATATTTGTACTATTTGTATTTAAAAATGATTCTATTGTTACTCGTTATGGTTGACTGTGGGTGCAGTGTCATTGTCCATTCTCCAAACAAAGGAATCTCATCCTTGGTTATATATATCTATCTGTATTGTAAAAAAAAGTAAATAATCAAAGCAATTCCGACAATTCTGGTATTTTTTGTCTTTCTGAAATGAAATATTCGTAAAGGACATTAATATTTTCAAAAGAATTTCAGACCATTCCGTGTGAACTACCACATTGTGACATTCGTGTGAATGGTAGATATATGCCCAACATGTGCTTATGAAAGGATAACTATATATATAGTAACAAGATACTTGTTCAAGAAATCTTACAATTGTTTGGCTGTTCGTAGTTCGTACGTTGTTGAAAAATATCATTTCTACCCAATGGTTAGATATTTCAATCTGACGTCTGCAAATGGCCCATTCACTTTAGAATGATCATTTCATTATGTGATCAATGACGCTAAGAAAAGCTCTGTCTAAGCTACTTTCCAAGATTTTCAAAGAGCACTTCAAGTTTGATTTATGACCAAGAGGTTTTGTGTAATTTAACTTCTGATTAAGGCTATATATTATTTATGTCAGCGGCGATAACAGAAATTTTTATTTTTATTTTCTTTTAATAAATATTAATTGTCTCCTTTATTTTTTTATTTATTAAAAAGAAATAAACATAAAGTTTAATTAATGACGATATTGATATTACGTTAAAATTTGGCTCTAAGAGATAATTAATTTCCATCTATTAGCTAGTAGGTAAGTATTTAACGATGAGTTTGGTAGAGAAGAAAAAAATAGGTAAAAAATAAAGTGAAGAGAAATAGAAAAGAGATAAATAAGTGAATAAAAATTGATAAGAAATAAAATAAACTTTAATTATTTGGTTGAAGAGAAATAGGTATATGAATAATATTATGTGTATGTTTAGTAAGATAAGAAAAAAAAAAGAAAAAAGAAATAAAGTATATAAATAAATAATAAATAATAGAGTAAAAAAAATTTAAATTAGTTTTTTATTATTTTTTTTAATATTTGATTAAAAATTTATATAATTAAATAAATAATATTTTGAAATAAAATAGATGACTAAATAAAAGTAAGTAAATAATTTTAAAGTAATATTTTTAGATTAAAAATTAATTAAAATAATAAATTTAAACTAAATAAATAAATAAAATCTTAAACTTTCATTGGAATAAACATAATTCTATTCAAATTAAAGTTCACTTTTATCTGAATGAAGGTTTACATTCTTGAAAGAAAATGTATTCAAGTAAAAGTTTTATTTATTTGATTAAATCAAAACTTTTTCATATGTGTAACGATTTTTATTTGAATGAGAATACATTTTATCCAATTACAAATGAGTTTTAAGTGTGCACGGTCAATTTTTACTCTACATTTTTTTATTTATTCGTTCACAAATTTCTTTGATACTAAAAGATTGTAATTTTTTTTCTCGCTATTTCATCTATCTGCTTCATTTCTTCACTATTTCGTTTATACCAAGCGAAGATTAAGTTGGATTTGAATCCCTAGCTAGAGTACATCAAGGGTGCAATTTGGATCTCTACTCCTATTGCACCCCGAACAGCAACAACTCCAAATTCCAAATCAAATATTTCTAGAAGCTAATTAATAAATTTACGAGTACTTGTCTTAATTATTGTATCTGCTTGGACGTGCAGTACGTAGATTATGGGGTAGATGAAGGAAAATGACGCCGAAACACTTGCTTTCTAATTTCTTTCTTTTCTTTTTTGATATGAACAAAAATAAATCAAGAGAATGACGGGTGAGGATAGTTCACAAATCTTAATTCAAGCAAGATTAATATATCTGAAGGTTCTTAAAGATTGTATGTGATTATAAAGGAGTTAATTGTTGCTGTCAACATAAATTAATCTATAGATCAAATGTTCTTTCCTCATTTGTATATTAATATCATATGAATGCCGTGCTACGTACTTTTAGAAATGTTAATACTTGAACAAGGTCTTTCCACATCAAGTTTATGTCCAAGCCATGTCAGATATATAGCATGCATTATTTTCCATTGTTCTTGCACGTCTTGAACTTCTGCATAATGGAGAAGAAACCAAAAAAAGGAAGAAAAAAGAAGTACACGAACAAACTTTAAGCATTGTAAAATACTACTTTAAGAAGTTTTGGATGCTCATCCGGATGGTGGTTGTTTGGTCTACTTGTTTGCGCAAAAATGGCATTGTCTTTACAGAAGAACAAGTAGATTTAGCAAAACTTATGGATTACACATGACATGAAGTTTTGGTATTTCTCGATCTTGGTTGGCATCAAAATTATAGAGTTCTCTTTTTGTTTTTCTCAATGTTACATATATCAATAGTTACAATGCATGATCTCTTACTTATGAACAATTTCTATTTGTAATGTGGGGTTGAACTATTGGTACACAAAAGTTATTATATAATGACATAATGTTTATTACTAAAAATTACTTTTAATTATGTTATTATAATATATATATATATATATATATATATATATATATTATAGTATATTGCCAAAAAAATATAAATATAAATTATAGTAAAACATAATATATGTCCTTAAATTTAATTTAAAATTAACATTAAAATTTATATAATTATATGTGTAATAATTATATATATATATATATATTGTATTTATAATGATATTTTTTATATGACATTATATATAATATTTTTTATAATGTATCTTTTATATTAGTATTTTATAAATATTTTATTATTTTAATAAAACATTGCTTTAAAATGTTAAATTTATAAAACTAACTCCTCCTAGACTGACAAGCATCTTCGGTACCATTTTCATATATTATTGAATTCTCATTAATTTAGTATAGAAATGATCATTTTTCTTATTTTTTATATAAAAAGTGGGGGGGGGGGGGGGGGGTCAAAGCATTTAGAAAACATATAGGTTAGTTGCACTTTTAATTAAAAAAGATCAAAAGAGAAAAGTCAAATATATTTTAATTTTTCTTTTGCAATGAGATGATCTCTTCAAATTAACTTTGGAGTTAGTTATTACTTTTATTTTTGTCAAATATACTTTTTCTCTTCTGCCATTAATATTGATACCCAGAAGGTTGGTCAATTTGTAGAATATATATCCAGTACTAGTGTCAGAACAGCTTTTGCATGGGTCATCTGGTAGCTGCAACCACCACTCTTAAAATAGGTTTCATTTGGAAACTGAAAGGAAATTGCACCGACCACTCATTGAGATTGTGTGCTTCGTTCTTTGCTTTTGGATCTGTAAATGAATACGTGTCCCAATTCCAATCCCCAATGAATCTCAATCACCACTTGCACATGACTTTTCGCCGCATTAACGCTGCATATATTTTTACAATAACCGAGGACTATTACAGGGACACGCACATGAACTGAATTTTGTTAACATTAAATATGTATTAAGACATATGCACTTGTAAAAAAAAAAAAAGGACGTGCACTTACCATTACTTGAAACAATTAACTCATGTTGAAGTTGAACCTTCCAATCATCCTCAGCTTTCCTTGCCATGTTCGTATACATGAAATAATTAATTAACAAGACGTGTATCTCGTCGAGATCATGGAAGAAAAATAGTAGTACATTTTGTATATTTAATTAATTAAGCACATTTTAAAAGAAATAATCACATTTTTTCAAGCTTTTTCGTTGAATAAGTTCTTTGAAAAAAATGATTATTTCTGCAAAATTAATATGTCATTAACAAACATGCACTACTGGTAACTCTCTTGCCAACAATTACTAACTAATTAACAGTTGAGATCTATATTTATGTCCCAAGACTTGGCGGATTCGGAATTTTGCATTGGCTTGTCTTCCGCAGCACCAATCATAGGCGAAGGTAAAGCAATTGTTAGGTCAAGATTCAAAGGGGGTGATGAAATAATTGCTGTTTCTTCTTCAAGGCTCTTTGTGAATGAAATCCTATCCGTGGCCGCATCACCACTGGATTTTTTTAAGAAAGGGACTTTTTGGTCTTTGCTCATGGACTCGGATGTTGATGCAACTTCAACAGAAGCATGAGGATGAGAAAAGCTTTGGTGTGGCTTGTGGTTATTTGGATCAATTCCCATTTTTATGAGTTTTCTGCGGATGTGAGAATTCCAATAGTTCTTCACCTCATTGTCTGTCCTTCCAGGCAACCTTCCAGCAATCAGTGACCACCTATATAGTAAAATTAACTTTAATTCATTACCAAGGGGTGCTAATAATATGGTATACAAATATAATTTGGTTAATCATATTTTCTTTTGTGTACAATGGTCAATAGCCATGATGTTTAATCTTAAAATTAACGTAAATTATCCAAACTTTTCACAACAATAAGAATTAATAACAATAAAAAAAATGTTATAGTAAAATCACGATAAGAACCTAGGACATAAGATTCTGTTTATCATGGAGTATTAAAAAAAATAACAATAAATGATTTTTTTTATTATAAATCACGATAAGAAGGCTTTGATAATGTTAGGTTAACGTAACAAAACCAATAATAATATGAGGTCTTTCTTTTGAGAGATTTAAGAATATTAATTAAGGAGCATTAAAGATGCGGGCTTCTTAAATATTGTTTATGATTTCTTGATGAATAATTTATGAATTTTGGTAGAATAATATTTGCTAATAAAAAATCTGGATCTATGTCAATTTTATTAACTAACATATGGCTATTGAAGGTACCTGTTGCCAAGGAGGGCATGGAGTTTGATGATGAGGTCTTCTTCATCTTCGGCAAAAATTCCACGTTTGATGTCTGGTCTTAAGTAGTTTAACCATCTCAGTCTACAGCTTTTGCCACAACGATGAAGGCCTGCAGATAATATGTTGATTGTTGAATTAATGACATGTGGTTATTGATGGTAGGTACCCTAAGAAATTCCATGGTCTCACGAAAAATTTAAGGATTTTGGTACACTATTACTCTTTTTGACCAATAATTAAATGAGTTTCTATATAATGAAACACTCAGATATATCTAAACCCATTCAACTATTGGAAGGAAAAAAGAAGAAAAAAAAGCTGTTGTATCAAATCCTCTCTTGGTACCAATGAAGTATAACTTAATTGGTCGAGTAGAATGTATGAGTGTTGTGAATCTCTTAGTAGTGAGACTGATTTTGATAAATAAGAACAAAAAATTCTCCTCGGGTACCATACATGTCCATAATCATGACGAGACACCCTCTTGAGTTAGTAGTTTTGGCCAATTATGGAAATTTATTGGAAGAAGAATGAATATAGCAGTAACTAATTAACTAACCAGCAGCTTTAGGGATGGAACGCCAACATCCTTCACCATGAACTCGGATGTAGTCAATGAGCTTTTGGTCTTCTTGCTTGGACCAAGCACCTTTATTGATGCTTTCTTTGTCACAACAAGGTTTCCTCATTGTTGTTTTGGTCTTCTGAACTCCCCCTTGTAGGGTGTGGCCGTGTGGGTGTTTGGGGCAAACAAAAGGCTAAAAAAACATATATGGAGAGAGAGAGAGAGAGAGTTGAAGCCTGACAAATGGCAGAAGAAAGGGTAGATAGATATATATTATGTTAAGGTGTGTGTGTGTGTGAGGATGATGAAGGGTGGGGGAGAGATGGATATAATATTGACTTGGACTGGTGGTTTTGCTGTGTTGTTGTTGACGATCCCTGTGCATGATATCTATAGTTTCCAATTAATTTTATTTTTATTTTTGGGGATAGGAGTCATTGGAGGATAGGGTATTTGCCCTTAGGGTCTTCCCAGCATTGCATATTGCTTACCGTTAAGTAAATGTCGTTGTCAAGGTCATAAACATTTGCACACCATTGAGAGTTTGAGACGGTGGTTATTGGGTCTAATCCACAATTTTGGTACTCATACCAAGAACATGGTGTCTCGAGTGTGCTTATTGCAGAGTCAACTCTAATTGCGTTTATTTGGAGAAAATAACGTATGATACACCACATGTTAATTTCAGAAGGAAACGGATGAAGCGACAAGATAAATAAACCGGACAATTAAAACCCCTTCTGCATGTGTGTTCTTGATTGTTAAGTGAATCATATCGTATTTTATTTTTAAAACCCTTATTTGATCCCTTATAATATTTTTTTTTTCAATTTAGTTTCACATTAATTTTTAGTTTTAATTTGGTCTCCAATAATTTAAATTATTATAATTTGGGACTTCCGTCCAAATGATTTAAACGGAGTTAACTGTTGGTCATGTGGATGCCACGTAGATGCATAGGTAAATGTCAAATTTCATGAATACACCTGAAACCAGAACGACCTGTTCTGAAACCAGAACGACTCGTTCTGCTTGCACATGTTATGTCTTAATTTTGCAACTGGAACGGGCTATTCCAAATGCAAATTTAACAGACTATGAGTGCAATAGAATGGGTCGTTCTAAAACCAGAACAGGCCGTTCTGAATTCAGAATGACCCGTTCCAGAACGCCAACTTCATGCATTCGTTGACCAAAATGTTGCCGTGTGATTCAAAAATTGAAAATAAAAATTCAAAACTTATCATAAATTCAAAGACAGAAACATGTTCAGAAATTGGAACAAAAAAATTCAGAACATAACATATACTAAAAAAGTTCAAAGAAATTACTGAGAAAGGAAATCATCTAGGTAACGCTGAAAAGAAACCCTAAACCACAAAAATTCAGGTTGTACCTCCTCAAGAACAGGTTGTTATTGTTGGGGTACATCGTCAATGACTTCAAGGGGAAACACCGTTTCGTTCCATCCTTGACTGTATAGTGTCAATTTGGTAGTAAGTGGTTCACTCCAGTTTGACTAACAATTAAATAAAACCTGCTATCATTGTCCTTAGTGATACACTGCATCGTCCTTAATGATACACTGTATAGCCCAAATGTTTAACAATTGAAGTTATCAATCCCAATTAACAATATTACCAAATCTAGTGTTTGAAATGTTTTGTACCTTAGGTCTTTTTTCTTGCACGATTCAAAACCGTGAACTATAATCATCGATCATTCTGGACCAAAACGGCCCGTTCAGAAACTAGAACGGGTCGTTCTGGTTTCAGAATGGGCTGTTCTGGTTTCAGAATGGGTCGTTCTGGTTCCAGGTGTATTCAAGAAATTTGGCATCCACCTACGCATCTACCTGTCATTCACGTGACCAACAGTTAACTCCGTTTAAATCATTTGGACGGAAGTCCCAAATTGCAATAATTTAAATTATTGGGGACCAAATTAAAACCAAAAATTAAAGTGGGACTAAATTAAAACAAAAAAAATATTATAAGGGACCAAATAAGGATTTTAACTCGTATTTTTTTTATCCAATACAATCAAATTATCTGAGAGTTTATAATAATTTATGCATCCTTTTTCAACCATCCGAGTTATCCTTACGATGAGTCATATATATATATATATATATATATATATATATATATATATAACAAAATTTGATATACACATATAAAGTGATATGAATTTTCAATCTAACGGTTGGATTTACAAAATTCACAATTAATATAAAGTTATTGAGTGGTGTAACACTTAGTAAAAGTTACATCGGTGTCGTTTGAACCCTCCTCATATATATATATAATATATATATAATACTTTTAGTCCTTTAAATTTAAAATTAATTGTTTTTAATTTCTATAATTTTTAAAAATTTTATTTTAGTCTTTATATTCAAATTTTATTAAAAATTTATTAAATATTGCTACATAAAATCTATCAACTATTATTTCTGCTAGTAAAAGTATCATATTTAACATAGTTAATACCGTATAATTGTTTCAATTTGTCACTTTTAGGACATTATTGATGACTTGAGAGAATAAAATGATATTTTTAAAAAATACATGATTAAAAAATATAATTTTAAATTTTTTAGACTAAAAATAAATTCACCTTAAATTTAAGAGACTAAAAATATATTTAATTTTTTTATATTATTTTTTAAAAGATTATAAATATAATTTCTCTTAAATAAAAATGACTCTAAATCTGCACTCCAACTCTAGACAAAACTACATCTATTTTAATCAGAGTAATAATTTTTAGAAATTAACCTAATTTTTGAAACATTTAATCAACACCATCATTCATCATTTTTCTCTACCTCTTTCTCTTCCAATTACATTTTATCACCTATATCCTTTTCTCTTTTATCTCCTTCTCACTAGGAGTGAAATATCACTTTGAATATTATTTTTCCTTTTAATTACATAATGGATAAAAAAAATGATTTGTGAATATTATAAATTTATTTGACACGTGATAAAAAGAAGAAAAAGGTGTAAATATAATAGAAGATATAATAGGATAAAAAAAATAAAGATAAATGTTAAATATTATCCATGTATCAAAATTCTAGTTGATAATAATAGTCAAGAAGATAACTTTATCTCATGAGTGTCCCAGCCAGAGACATATGACAACATAAAAAATAGGGTGACTCATATATGAGGACTTTGGTAGGCAAGAAAACAAAGCAATTTAATTCTGACCGTCTTCACAATAACCAAAGCAAAAGATCAAACAGCAATCACACGTCAATGATGCTACAATCATCGACCAATACCTAACTCGCTATATCAGCCCCAACAACGAGTCGCATCTGCACTTCCATTGGTTGTGTCATTACAGATGAGAAGAAATATCTAGTATATATGCTGCTGGATTAATATGAAAGAAAATTATAAGATACTGTGGTCGATGTAATTAATCTCGTAGATACGTATATTTTAACTTGATTAATCACATGTTTAATAGAAAATATTTAAAGATTGAAATTATCTAGTCGATGAGTCACTGGAAAGGATCCATGATCTTTGTTTGACTTTTGTAATAAGACCTAGGGCAACTAATAGTGTAACAATAAATACTTTCTTTTTTATTGCTAGGGTTAATGCATATTTAACAAAAATGTTTGAATGGAAAACAATTTTTATAGCCAAATCAAACGAGCATTATGTGTAAGTGGCTGTCCAATTATCCCATCATATCTTTCTAAATCAAAAACTTATTAGTTATAATCGATAAAATTTATTAAACTTAAAATCAAATAGATATAAATAAGTAATCACAAATATATTGTCGGAGGAAGAAATAAGAAATTGTATTCGATATATATAATTTTTTTTATAAAATATAAGAAAAATTAGAATGAAATAAGATTCTCCTTGATCATGACTAGTTTAACAACTATATTAATCGTCTAATAGGATAACGATTAAATAACTTATTGTATGAGAGCACGGATCTCTCATTAGTTGGAGTGATTTATTGGTAGCATTTGTTAATTTTCTCGTTATATAGTGAAGAGAGTTTACTTGTATGGAGAGAAGAGTTACTCTATGTTCCTTGTAATAGTTTTGTTTTTGTACAAGTTGGGTATTCTTTATACCTTTTATCCTCTCTTATTATAATATATATTTTTTGTTGTTAAAAAAATACAATATTCATCAATTAATTAGATGTTAAAATAATTATCAATCATAACTAATATATTAATAAATTAAAAAATAATTATTAATAATACAGTAATATTAATCTAAATAATCAATCCAATAATAATTTTATTAACTAATCAAGTGTTGTGATTAAGTTAATTGATGTAGTTGAAAATTCAAATAATTTATTTTAAATAGTTAATTAATTTAATCCACACTAATTCAACAATATATCTCATTTAGATACACCGGTTTAGGAAGACTTTCCTATAATAAAAGTTTTTTTAAAAAAATAGTTCATTTTTTTTATAATCTCAAACCTATAAACAAATTCCAAATTGATAATTTATTATCATTGGCAATATGAAAACACAAGTTAAACAAATTAAACTTGGACTATACAAAAACAAACGCTAAACAAAATAAAGTGAAAATGAGAAATGAACAAAACAATAAAAATGGCATACCTGATGGCAAGGACAAGACTTGGAAAACAAATAGATGGTGATCAAGTGTGAGGCAAGGGAAGTTTGACGAAATAAGAAGCAACAAAATGAGGGAAAAAATGAAGTATATATAAATGAAATTGAAAATAACGTAAAATAAAAAATGGTGTACTTGGTAGATGTCGCCAAGGGTCATGGGTGATGATAAATCGCGAAAAAAGCTTGTTGGAGATGCTTGGAGTTCCATCGACGTTGTAAGAGAAGACTCGCAATAGGGTTTAGAAAAGAAAAAAAACATAAAATAGAGCACATAAAACTCAAATAATGTTCTAGAGAAATTTTCAAAGACCTTTTCACATCAATTATAAATTGAACCAATGTAAAATATCTTATTTTATATTACATAAACCTATAACCAACGTAAATAATGATATTTTACATCAATTTCTTCACGACTAATGTAAAAAAAATTATTAAAAATCAATTATACCACAAATTTTTTTATTACATTAGCTATTTAATAATCAATGTAAAATCTTAATATAAAATATCGTTTTGTATTACTAGTGATAAAATTATCAATAATTAATGATATAAAATTATTATAACTAATATATTAAATATTATGGACATGTATATCAATATTCTCATAAATATAATTTTTAATATCCAAAATCACGTGTGAATAATCAATTTTATCCGGATTCACAAGAACAATGAAATGCACATCTACT